AGTTGCGGGTTTTACTATGATGTATTTTTTATATAACTCAAACAAACGAAGAGCTACTCGGCTAAACTAAGCTAAAAAAACAATTTCTAAAAGGAAAGATACAATAACAAAAGTATATTAAAAGGTTTGACTGTAATTAATAAAAAAACAAAAGTAAACAGTAATGAAAGTACGTCTTAAGTGAAAAAATACGGCTTCACTTGGTAATATGATAATCCTCGTCATATAACTATTAGAAAAGTCGGTTAAATAGGGATTACATTCGAATTTTTTGAAGTAAATTGAGTTTTAACACCAAATATTATTATATTTCTAATAATTCAGGAGGGGTGTTTACTCGTAAGCACTTCCCACGCAAGACGGTTCATGAAATTGAAAACTCGTAACTTCGACATTAAAAATGAGCCTTTCAAATGAAAAGATATATCCCTCGGCTGAGAAAAAAGGGACTTAAATGTAGGAGTTATTTGGCAGGCATTTTTGTTATAATAAAATCTTCAGATTATCTCCATGTAGGATAAGTTTGAACTAACACATACTGCCGCATGAATCATGGTATCGATTTAATGCAACAAGTGTAAGCTCTGCTAACTATTGATTAGTTTCGATAAGCAAAACGTTCATATTGAAGGAAAAAAACATGCATTCAAGATGAAATTCTAAGTCCCTATTTACACAAGCATGTCATTTCCTTAATGATTTGAATAATACCATTGTTTGTTGCTATCAGTTTTCCTTCATTTTATTAGGAGTTTATTTTACGAAATGTGTTTGTAAGATCAGTACCAGCGTAATAACCACGTATTTGTCAATTTAAAAATCTCAATTAATGTACATTCCATCATTTTGAAAAATTTCCGTTACTGTATCTACGAATTTAATTGTTTTTCAACGATTATACGTACCTACCATTAAAGCTACATATGAACAAATTGATAATTCGAAATAGGACAAATAATATTTGATGAAGGAAGTGAAAAATGATTCTTTAGTTCCTACTTAAATAATTATTTACGTAATACCTACTTACGTACCTAGAAAATGTAGAGCAGAATAAATGTCGCACTATCCCATGTAAATGACATACTGTCCTCTAAGTTACCTTCAGAAATGTAACTTGACATACAAGTATGGACTTTTATGGAATGGGAGAAAGTACAATTTTAAATGACAAATAAGAAGAAATGTTTAGAATTTCCGACACAATGTTTATAATTTCAGTGTCTTCGATATAGAATTTTTAATATAATAAAAAAGAAAAGCTTCTGTTTTAAAATACTGTACAGTAGTAATATGTAGGATAAAAGTCCTTGTAAATTGAGTAATATATTCGGGATGAAAGTTAATATTACATCAGTAGTTATACAACAGGTATAGTTATGTAATTTTAGGAAATGTCTAGTAAAGAGTAAATCCTACCAAACGGACCTGGTAGGATTTACAAGCTTATTTTTAATTCAAAATGAAAATTGATTAGATTTAAAGGATAAAATTAGAAGAAATCGTTATTTGACCTATTCCAAGTGGACTTTATCCAAGTGTAAAAAAAAAATACGTTTTGATTTATGTTAATTATAAAAACGAATCAAGTTTCGAACCCAAGAATAGACAGAAATGTTGTCATGAAATTGTATATCAGGCGTAGCAATAAAAGAGAATTGCATTAATTTTATACATTGCTTTTTAACATTTAATATTTAAAAACATTATTTTACAAAGAAGATTTATAATCATCTTAAAAGCTCTACCATTTTCAATAAAAATTTCACCTAAAACGCTACGTCATATTTTCTGCTTTTCCATTTTCAAGATAAAATATACGTCCCTAAGCTTAAATCTTACTTAATGTAATTAAAAATTCATTTTTTCTTTATTCTAATACACGTAAAACAATAAGCACACAAAGCTCTCTCAGTGTGACCGATAGAAAGTCGCGCAGAATCGAGAAAGGAAAGAAAGTAACACATTGACAGCCAACATGTATTAAAAGCTGACGGTCCAATTACATAACACTCACGATACGACTGGCATCTGTGATAAATGAGATCACGGCACATGTGCGAGCGGCGAGTGCTGCGGCGCAACTGACGAATACTGAGAGACAGTGGGTCGCCAACCCCCACCCCGCCACTGGCGCCCGACGTGGGGCTCATACTTACAGTACAATGTTACCACGATAATAAAGGAAAATATCTCCGAGCACTGCATCTATATGTAATATGTATATACATAGTTTAACTCCCGGAGGCTCGGATTTACGGACTGTGTATTTCTTCGTGTGAATTTTATCGGAATAACGAACGCGGTTGTCAGGTTTGAGACGGATTATGTACGCGTTTTCTCATCTTTCTTATATATTCGTTACATTCTGAATGTAATACTTTTTTTCCTAAAACTTAACACAGTATTATGTAATCTAGAAGACTACTAATTATTCCGGAGTTATGTATACTTATTCATAAGTTTTTCATTTATAGATTTCTCCACATTATAATATTGCCGATATCTTTCAAACGAGAAACGGCAAACGCAGCGTATGCAGTGATGATGCAAATCTTAGTATAAGCATACTGGTGTATTATGTCAAATATTCTCACTGAACAAATCAAAAGGCTAACTGTTTTTCGGAATAAAAAGGAGAAAATAAAAAAAAAGAATATAAAATAAACTTTTTAATATAAAATTAAAGTGTCAAAAATAATAATAAGACATCACAAACTTATATATCACATACACATTATATCACAACGTTTGACATTTTGTACGTAGACAACCATTTAATTATAATATTTTAATTAAATTGGTTGCCATTTTTTTTTATTCAAAAAGACGAAGTAAAAGTTGCCAGTACGAAAAAAAAAATTTTTTTGGTTTTTAATTTATCCATAAAACAATAAATACATTAGCAGGAATGGAATTAGTTTCAAAGTTATGCGTTTTAATTCAAAATAAAATATAATTAAATGATTTAAATATCAATAATTTCATATATTAATTTATACTTAAATATTCATAAATATTATTGGGAATGTCAGTATAAAGTTAACATAAATATTGAGTTGAAATTGCATTTGAAGGAATCACGAGAATACTTCATTGAACAATTCTGAAAGAGACTTCATATACTGAATATTTCATACGAGTAATAAGTCAGGAACAGAAGATGTGATTACTAAAGTTGTATGTACAAAAGACTCACTGAAGAAACAGCATTCGTTTAGTTTGTACAAACTTTTAATAATATACATATATACTTACATTCTTCATCGTATACAATTCTGTTAAAATGTATTTCGATAGATAATAAATTTAAAAGCTCATTCTTTGGACTTATATTGTATATTAAAAATTAATTATTAAAACGAATATTTTTTTGTAATAATTTCGGTTTCGTTTGGCTCAACACACTCGCGTTATAATTTCATCTCGTTCTTGAATATTCATATTTCTACACGAAACAATGAGTGACTATTTATATTATAGTATATTGGCGTTATAAATAAATGTATTACTTACTCCTCGCTTCGTGTAAAAATGTGTGATGTAGCAAAAATATATTATATTTTAAGCTACTGATGTTTTAAAGCATTGTAAATAATAATTAGTCTTTATACTTATGACAATAGATTTTTTGTATATGGCAACATTAAAAATTTATATTTGTATAAGAAATGCATTTTTATCTTTGATCTTTGTTATCAATTGTATACAGTAAATGGAATATTAATCAGATCGACTTATTACGAACATTTCTTATGTACATATTTATTAATAAAATTAATATAAAAGCCAGCAGCGTCTGCCACAGTCAACAAAAATCAGGAAAAAACGAACGGACGGAAAACAGATTAAAGCGACCACTTAGAACTGAAACAAAAATAAAATAAATCACACAAATCGAATAAAAACAAATACACAAATAAAAATGTTCTGAAACATAAAAGAAGGAAATTAGGACTTAATAAAAATTTTAAATTAATCAATATTTTTTTTATATGACAACATAAATTTAGGATCGAAATAAAAAAAATGTTTATAAGGATGACGTAAAAATTATTTATTTTTGGTAATGAATTTTAATTGTACTGATATATACTATAAATAAGCAGTGGCGGCTGTACCTTAAGTGCACTCGTGCGCTGAACCTCCAATTCAAAAGATTTAAAAATTACTAAATATTACTTCATCATTATTTTTAAATTACCATTTTAATATTTATTTTCTAAGCATACAAAAACGTATAAAAAATTAAATTTCTAATTATAGTCAAAAAGTTTGAGCGCTTTACTAAACTAATATCTCGTGCGCTTCGGCGAGTGCACGAGGACTGCTAATACATCTTGTATGAGATACGCATTAATACGCCTGACGCGTGAGACAAAAGATAGTTCATAGAAATGTACCGAGTAATGAGTCGGTTCTCGAGCGCCGCACGAGCGGACCGAAGATTACCGAGAGCACCCGATGTATGACGGGTTGGAATTGAAAAGAATCAAAACTTTTCTCCGAAATACCTTGAACTTGCTAAATGTACTTTCTATGCTTAGTATTGAAAAAAATATATACAAACAATACCTGATTTTAATAAAAAGGTGATTGAACATTTCGCTTCAGAAAAATGTAGTCGCATTGATTTAATGTATAAAAACAAACATATTTTATGTCAATTGTTGTTTTGTTGAATTTTCTAATATTAATATTTTAGTAAAGTGCACCACCAGTTCGATAACCCACCAGCCGCCACTGTAAATAAGGTAATATAATTTTGTGTCTTTTCTTACTGTTCTATTTTAAAAGAACTTGAAAACGAAAGGTCTCCAATGGATCATTGTATATTATAATTCATATAGACTTAAACCATAGACTTTGGATTGTATATCATGTACACGGGTCGTGTATGTGTGCGTACTACAATGTCTATACTAGTACGATCACGTGCGTGTGTGGGTGTGCGTGTGACGTATGTAATCATGTTTATGTCTATTTGTGTGTGTGTGTACCTGGGCGTGTTGTTCCTCCTGTACGGCCTCGCGTTCCTGTACACGTGTCCGCCCTGAGACACCAGCGTGCCCCTCGAGCTGGCCGGACTCACGGCCGTGTGGAGCGACCCCGACGACCGAGAGGAGTGGGGGGAGGAGGGGGGAGACAACGACCCGCCATCCAACATGCCCTCATTGGTTGGAGTCCTGTCACCTGTGATACATTACATCTGATGCATACACCCAGGATATTGTGACGTCATTAATGTCATTGACCCCACCGTCTCCGTCAGGGCTGTCGAGCGGCGACCTCCTCGTGAGATCCGGACTGCCCCAGGGACTGAGCGCCCCCAACGGACTCGACAACCCTGCCGTTATCAGCGTGTCGTCGTCTGAATCTGTAGGTGGAGGAGTTATTAATGAAGGTCATTTATAGAGTAATTACACGATATAATATCTAAGTGCATTATAACTATTGAAAGGGTTTTAGTTTTATCTAGGTTCATTGGATAGGTAATATTCTTTATAATAAAATCCTACCGCAGAACTCAGACATTCATTTAAGATATACAAAGTAATAATTAAATAATCTTTATATTAATATACGTTTAATTCCTACTGAGAGAAAACTAGAGTATATGTCCATTTGTCCATTTAGAAATCGAACCTAAAGACTATTAACATTAAAATGGCTCACCGTCGTCATAAACATCATAGAAGTTCTCTTTCGATTCGTTCGTCGATTGCGAGATTTTTTTCTTTCGTTTGCTCTAAAAGTAATATATACGAATATTAGATATTATTAAATAATCACATAAAAATAACTATATATTAAGGTCAGCGGTAACTGTTCTTACCTTAGTAAGTTCTTCAGCCACGGACATCTCCAGCGCGTGGTGCGTGCGGGCGAGCGCTGCCAGCGACTCTTCTAACACACGGTTCCTCTCAATCTGACAACATATTATATATACAGTCTTGACATAAATACTTTATAATATTGTAGTGAAACTGCTCATGCGACTTCTAACGAGGTTGCGTTAAAAGTTTAACGCTCCTGGGAGAGGGGATAAAAACAGACAGGGCGAGAAGGAATGCGTGATTAACGCATGCCAGCAATCAATTGTGACTTGTAAGTAATGTTGATAAAGTTTGTTTTAAACAAACACTAAATTATCCTTAAAAATTAACTTGTATCCCTTCCTGTATTCATAACAACATAACGAAGTTTAATGTCTTTATAATGTATGTAAAATTTATTAGAGCAATAACAAAAAAATATATAAATCTTAATAAGCGCTTTAAGCTTCGTATATAATATCTTTGAACTCTTTCTTTTAATGTTTTGCTTGTTTTTTTTCCTATTAACACCCCACGGATAGAAAGCATTTTTTCTATGTTTGTTTTATAAAATAAAGAAGTTTCGTTATCTATCAATAGTATGGTACACAAATAACTTAATAACACCAAGCTTATGAAGGATTTCAAATATAAATCTTGTGTCATGGCTACACGTAGTAGAGTTAAGGCTATTTTTTTTTCACATCCTCACACCACCAAAACAATATGACATAGCACATCGACTGGACATTTCAACTTTATATGGATGACCAGATTTCTTGAGAATAGGATAGGTATAAAAGAAAGCAGATACTCAATCAATTAATTCTATACTACAAGAGAAGTAACTTCTGGTCAAATTCATGTGTTGGATGTTTCACTCGGCAACTGCCAAATAAAACCGTTATTTAATGTACAATTACACCTTAAACACATACACACACACGCACACACACATACACATACATATCATCACCATCTCTACCTAAATCAATCTACATGGGTATATATATATATACACTAGAAGACCCGGCGAACTTAGTATCGCCTTATAATCAAGAAATATCTGTTAAGTTTTTTATTTATATTTTTGAAGTTTACCTATTAAAGCCATAAATCTCCGTGTCTTGCAGTGCGACAAAATGATTGATATATTAGTTAGTTGTCAAATCTAATGACAAAAAAAAAACGTTTGTAACAACAACTACTTACTAATAAATTAAAAATTAATTAAAAAAACATTGTCCAGCGGACAAAATTGTGAATCTAAACCATTCCCAGATCCCCTTGAACACACACAAAAAAATTCATAAAAATCGGTTCAGTCGTTTGACAGAAGTTCAGTGACATACACACTCACAGAACAATTATATATACATATAAAGATATGTATGTATGTACCTGTTGTGCGAGAGCTCTCTTGTCCCGGTCCTGTTGCTGCGCCACCAGCGCCCCGCAGTGTCTCAACGCCGCCAGCGCTGCTTGACCTGAACCACACGCGTGCTGGAAACGCTGCAGGGTCACACACACTATATTAATATATAAGATCATATAATATGTAGTCCACAAAAAAAATATCTTTTATTGACATAATGACTGACGAAAATCATATATACCAATAGATAAAATTGAAATATTTACATAACCTCTTGTTACTAAATGTACGTGTATATTTCCCGTCTATTTATTAGTTACATTCAATAGAACTATTCAGATGTAACTTTTCTTTGCAGCTAAATTACGTATTTAAACCATTTATTTTGCTACACACATACATTACATAGATTATACAGAAGAAAATAATTAAATTTAAAGAATACAGTATGGGATCAAGGGGTTCATCTCAGTATAAGCTGTACTAATGCTTAGATTATAATATAAACTATACATAACCAGTCACGTTGTCAGTTAACCTTGAACATTTAAGCCATATAACGAGTTGTCTCTAACCATGTACGCGGAGTGGTGTAATGAGTTTCCAACGTGAACGCTCTTATCAAGCGCCGCTACTATAGCCGCACACTCTCGGAGCTGTGTGTCGAGAAGCGCCAGGCTGTTGGTGGCAGCTGTCAGAGCGTCCTGCATCGACCCTGGATGAAACGGAAGAATGGATGAACATATTGAATGGATGGATTCATTTGGATGAATTATAATTCATTAACAGACCATTATTGTATTTTAAGTTGAAATCAGAATAATAACGTACAAAATCCCTGTTATTTACTAGAATAATACGAATTAGAAAACAATTATACAGTCGCATTGAGTGTATTTTTAAGTCGATTTAGATTCGTCAGTCTCCTACTATGGAATAAATACTTTATAATGAAATATATAATATTTTATAATGATTACTTTTCGTTAATATCAAATGTTCATACTTCTCGGATCACACCCTATATATAATAAATGGAGCATTGTTATACCACACTGTATAATCAGTTAAATAAACAACATTCCAATGTGTAATGTATACCAGATTGATTATTCTCTATGCTTGTATGATTTAACTCTTAACAATTAATATTTATGAACAAATTATATTTAACTAACTTTCCGCCCGCAGCTTCGCCTGCGTTTAGTTCAGTTATATCGCGTTTCCAAGAGAACCTTTCAAAAGTCTTTGATAAAAACTATCCTATGTTCTTTCTCAAGGTCAACTCTATGTCTGTACCAAATTTCATTAAAATCAGTTCAGTGGTTTAGGCGTGAAAGCGTAACAGACAGACAGAGTTACTTTCGCATTTATAATATTAGTAGGGATAACCATACCAAGTGGTTTACACTCGTCCTCCAAGTCTTCGGTCGCCTCTCTAGCGTTATCTGCTCCAGCCCACAAGTAGTGTCCGGAGTAAGCGATGTGCTCCTTCAATGCTGTTATCCACGACTATAGAGAATTATATGTATTAGTATTATAATAAAACATTTTCTTACTATATAATTTTTATAAATTTTTTTCGAAATCTTTTGGCGCGATGGAGAAAAATGATGATATTGAATTTTTTTTTATACGCGCGCACACTGACATCGTGAAGTTAGTTCTAGGTGACATGTTAATAGATAACTATGTTCAAGTTGTATATTCTAGTATTTTTTATATTTGATTCATTACCTTAAAAATAAATGGTTACATATTTCTACTGTGTTGTCGTATTTTTACGTTAAAACCTTTTTATTTAAATAAAATCTTTTTGGTTTGGTTTTTTTCTATACGCCAAAGAAGTATAACTAACGCGTGTACATAAGTACACACACTTTTTTTTTAACTTGGTGAATATAGAATTGAAAGGGTCAAATAGGTAGTCATATATATTTTTTTTGCACATAATAATATATGTATGCAATACATGTATGTGGTCTCAAGTGTATATTAAGCATAATAATGTCGCCTTACGATTAAATTTCAATAAAACCAGAGAATTATCACTAAATAAAAGCAAATCCACTTATTCAAAAAAAAAAATTACACATTATGATAATAATACTGCCAAAATATTGTTCAATGAAAATTTTTACATAAATATAAGAAACACACAGACAGATGAATAAATCTTTATCATTAACACACACCTTTATGCATTGATCTGATATAATGTTAATGTGTATACAATTGTAATGTTTTTGGGATAAATAAACATTATTATTATTATACCTGTCTACAAGCGGTCACGTTATCATTCTTATCTCCTTGCGGCACGGCCAGCCGGTGGTTCTCTCCGTCACTGAAGTGAACCATGAGCAGCGCGGGTTCCGTATCCGGTGCGGTCAGCTTGGCTCCGTCCAGGTACTTGCGGTCCCTCGCGCGCCCCTCACGAGCAGCCTCCGCCCTTGAACCGTAGTACAATAACACCCCACGTTGAAGCACCGCCTGACATACATTCAAGGAGATAGTTTTGAAGATATGAGGACACATTTTCTTTATATAGAAACATCTGCCTATGTATATATTAAATATATGAGTAAAGTGTCTATCCTTATTGTATATTGTAAGTTTTGAATATATATGTATAATAATCTTATTCACTATCATATTTGCTATCTATCAGTATGTATATATTAAACACAGTGAATTTACACCTAATGTAATATATTATAAGGAAATTTCTTTTAAAACAACACAAAGACCTGTTAGAGAGAAAACTTATTCTAAAGTTAAACATACAAGGAAACTTATTCCTCCTCAACAAGCTGGTACTTACTGTAACTGATATTCAAGACCTACATAGTTAAGACAATTTCTATAATATATAAGTATAATATTGATCTATATTGGTACAAAATTGTTCTATAAATATATGTAGGTGTATATCTCACCCATATCGGCCTCCATCCTAAGAAGCGTGACCTCTTCAGTAAGGGTCCCTCGTGTCTCTGTGCTGTTCGTTGTAGTCTTTGTACGGGCCGCACGCTCAAGACCTCACGCATCTCGTTGTCTTTAGATAGATCTATCGCTAGCTGACCTGCCAATATATGATGTGAATCAATAAATCGCTTCTACATCATGTGGAATGACTATATACAATGGTAACATTATTTTTTAATATGCCAGCATTTCTGTTAAGCTGAAAAAATCCATTAAGAGACATCTACGTTTAATTTATAGTAAAGTAAATAATTAGTGGCTTATCTTCGCTGACTAAGCATTCAACAGTAATAATCTTTATCAACTTTTCTTGGTACATTTTATTTAATCCTGAGAAATCGATCGTCTGATCCAAACCATAGTCCCTTTTATTGGTCCAGAGTATTTGGTAATTCTAGAGATACAATTGAACAAACCACTAAACCCCAATATTTACCCGCCTATTTTTAGTGAAGTTCCATCAAGTCGCCTGAGCATTTGACTCTAACACATTCTTAGGAAATACTCCAATGTGATGCTAAAGGAGGGCCCCAATTTACCACCATCCAATTTTCCTGATTAAGCGAGCGGCGGCCACATTTTAATGCCCATAATTACTATAGGGTTACTATAGGGATAAGAAGGTGGGGGTTATAGGGATAGTCAAGGGGTTAGGACCCCTCTCACCTCTGTTATTCCTCAGTGTAGTGTCGACCCCGTTTTGTAGTAATAGCACAGCGACCCTCGCGTGACCTCTGTACGCTACACAGTGTAGACACGTGTTGCCTTGAGCATCCACACAGTTGATATTGGGAGGACTCGGGGAACTCAACTGGAATTGATTAATAAAGAATTAATTAAGGATATTATATGTTTATCTACTCCATACATTAATTTTTCTACATTAAAATTGTTAACTATCAAGACAATTGCATACAATAGATAAAACACTTAAAAGAAATGAGTAGCCTTCTTAACTTCAATACATATTATAAAACAAAGCCTCTCGCCACGTCTGTCGGTTCGCAATAAACAGAAAAACTACTGCACCAATTATCAAGCGGTTTTCACCACTCGATAGCGTGATTCTCGAGGAAGGTTTTAATGTATAATTTTTCACATGATGTTGATGATACAATTTTTTTGTAATTTTACTACTACTTGTTTATCTTGATTTAGTTCAATTATATGATTTAATGTCCATCCCGATAGAAACGATACAGTACTCTTAGAGATAGCCAGAATAATAAACAAACAAATTTGTAAATGTTTCATACCATTGAAAATCTATTATTAAATTAATACAAACAAAACATTTAATCATATTTATAACATACCAGTTCCTGAACGTCATCAATCCGTCCCTCTCTAGCAGCATTCAATAGTTTCCGTTCTTTATCCCTCCTCTCGGCAAGACCGGCCGCCTCCAACAATCTCTGAACATCTGGAGTCTTGCAAACATCCTCGGCAGTCCTACCTTCACCATTCATTATATTGACATCAGCTCTATAATTCAACAGTAAGATGACAAGTTCCTGTAATAGAAAGAAAGCTTTGATAATTATTATTTATATATATTCAATGTTATACAAAACATAAGTGCTATTAAATGAAACATATTTTTTTAAGACACAGCATCATTATCATATTAAAATTTTTTTTTAGCTCTATACTATACTATGCCCCGGAATTTCATATGTTCAGAATTTGGCTCAAGATGAAATTAATAATGTGTTTAAAAAATATATAAATGATCATCAACCAGTAGCGCCACCTATTATGTATATTATATATTATGTCAATTCTTACAAAATACAATTATTATACTGTGTTCATGCAGGACCAATATACTATATGGAGCTGAAGTATAGATGAAATTTTATTATGGATGTCATATAAACATAGTTTCAATAACATTCATTCAGTTCTTTTGATGCCAAAGAGTTATAAACATCCCTATATTATACAAACTTTTGTATTTATAAGTAATTATATCATTTATCTTCATACCTGGTCTCCAATAAAAGCAGCTTTATGAAGAGCTGTGTCTCCTGTGTCATTGACCTCATCGACATTGGCCCCAGCATCCAATAACACCTCAACCACATCCTTGTGTCGGAAATATGTAGCGAGATGGAGTGGAGTCCATCCTAGGTTGGTTTTGTTTTGACCTATAAATTATTACATTAAAGAGAATATTTGTAACAAAACATTTGGGATGTATACAAAATATATTGAACTTTGAACAAATTGATTAAATATTTAGGCATTTAAATGAGATATATTATGTAATAAAATATTTATAGTAAAGATTAAGTTTTACTACATAAAATTAACATAACTTGTTATAGTACATAATTATAATCAGTCCTTATTAGTTCTCAGTTTATCAAGGACAGTTTAGTCATCATGTGACAAAACATATTTTATTCTATACCAATGACCTTAAATATCACTTTGCAATTATATTTCCTTTAAATTTTATTAGATATCATACTGATGTAGATACTTAGCAAATATAAAAAATATTTCTGTCTTTATCTATGCCTATTATTATTATTTTTAATGATATATTTCTACATTTTTTGTAACAGGGTATAAATAATATTTTTGAGCTGAATAAGGCTGAAAGTAGTTTAGAATCACATATATATATATATATATATATTGATAAAGTGGACTTTTATTTTATAAGTGGACTAAGCTATAATATATTATAGTTTTTACTTTGGTACAGCTTTTTATTAATCTTACCTCTACAGTCAATGTTCAGGGTTAGTTTTCCCTCTCGTCTAGCTTCTAACAAAGCCTTTACTACTACAAGTTCGCCGTGTCTTGCTGAATACAGAAGAGATTCTTCAGCCTCTTGGCCAGTGTGATTTTCTTTAGTCGACATCTCAATTGTTTATACAAGAAAAAACTCTTTTAAAGCAAATACATAAGTACAGTATTAAATTAAACGCTGAGGGTAATGGTTATTTAGTCTCCTTTAGTCTTTGGAAACACTTTAAATATATTTGTGCGATAGTTTAGTATTTTTGTGCGAAATAAAATATAAACTGACGGTTATAAGCGCCACTGAAAGCTGTTTCTGATAATTTTCGAAGTTAAATCTGACAATACAATGACATACGTCTAACCGTTCAGAAAATATTACCGTGTTGATGGTTCGTTTTTAATAATTATTTCGTATAAATCTAAGTTAAAAATCACTGAGTGTGTTTTATATAATTTGTATTTGAAGATAATAGTTTAAATTTAACCATTTGCTATTCGGTAATGATTATTTATTATCAGCTGATCTGTCAAAATTCAAAACATCATATGAGTTATGACAGCTGATATAGTTTTAAGAAATTTTGTAAACAGATAGGTAATCTTGAAAGTTATTCTGCGTGTTAATAAATGGAGCATAATCTGAATTGTTGTCGCATCTGCCTAGATATGGAATCGCCTCATGTATCAATATTAGAAGATCCGACAATACACCTGCACGTCAAATCCTGCCTCCCAATAACTATAAATGCAGCTGATCACCTGCCAAAATCAATTTGTGAATCATGTACATCCCAATTGAATGATTTTTACAATTTCCAATTAAACGCGCGATGTTCGCAGGATTGGTTGGAAACATCGCTTCAAGAAAAGACAAGAAAGACAAACGAAATAAAAACTTATGTACAACCTCTGCCTGACTCAGAATATAATTCTGATTCCCTTTTAGAGTTCCTAAATAACACGGTTAACATTGATGAATATCTCAATAATCTAGGTAAAGAAGACATACCTGGTATTGTGAATATGTTGGACAGAACTGTCGGCCCTGATTACAAAATGAATAACAAATTAAACAAGGCATCTAGTCCAAAAAAGAAAGAGTCACCAAGTAAAACCAAAAAACCTATAAAAATGGACATAGATATCCTAGACTCTGATATAGAAGTTGTGGAAGAATTATTAAAGAAGGAAATTGAGCCAAAGAGGAGGAATATAGACAAACAATATTCATGTTTTGCATGTAATACCAAAGAAGATAATATAAAGAAACTTTCTCACCATTTAAGTATATGTGACAATGCATTACGTACTTGTGTACACTGTGGTGTTTTGTTTGACTCAAAGCAAAAGATGCGACAACACTTACTGAGTCATAGTGTGTTGACACCATTAACATGCAACTGTGGACAACAATTTGATACTAAAGAGAGGCTATTAGCTCACTGTAGGAAGTGTGAAATAGATCACATTTCATCCATGGGTTTTCTATATTCTTGTAAACAGTGTGGAGAGACCTTCAGTGAGAGATTCCCACTTTATAAACACGCCAAAGATCACATACAGAAATCACAAGAGAGAATTTGTGATGTGTGTGGACACACCTTTATTGGCAATGAAGCTTTGTTAAAGCATAGGAAAGAAGAACATGAGAAGGCTGAGAAGGTTTCCTACAGGTCGATATTGATTTATATGCAATAAAACTCTATCATACAATTTAAAATTAATTTCATTATAGGTAAAATTCAAACATTTTCTTTCAGATGCAAAGTATGCAGTTTCTCTACATCCGACCGAAAATTAATTTACAGTCATGTACAGAAGCATACAGAAATAAAAGAGCCCAATCGTCATTTGTGTGAATTGTGTGGCCGGAGATTCGCCACTCACGCCACATTGCAAAGGCACTCATCAAAGCATGCTTCAAATATTTCCAAATGCCACATTTGCCACAAACAGTTTGCAGATTTAAAATCAAAGGAGGAACATTTATTGGAACATGTAAAGATTGTCATGTGTGAAAAATGTGGTCAAACTGTTAAAAATTTAGATAAACATCAGTGTACATAAAATAAATATCAAATGAAATGTTGCATCAATTCTCTGAATCATCACCATAAGCGATATCATAGCAACTAGGTCGTAGGCCTATCCAGTGGTAGATCTATCTGGACATTCCTTAGTATTTGAGTATCTTTAGCCCCAGCTATGTTCAAGGATTTTTAGATCCAGTGGTCATCAGTCTCCGAGCCATATGCCTAGCCCACTGCCACTTTTGGTTATCTACCCTTGAGCTGTTGATAATTTTTATGTTCGCATTTTTGGTTTGATTGCGTATTGATACTCCCATCATAGCTCGCTCAATTCCCCTCTGAGTGACCTTAAATCTCCTAATAAGGTTCTCAGTTAGAGTTAACGTTTTCGATACATAGGAGATTACTCACAACAAATATTACTCGAAAGCTTTTGTATTGAAACATTGCAGAAAGATTTTATTTCCTTTGTTTGAAATCTTTGAAAGTGGTGAAATAATTTTCACTGCACTCTATTGTTATTTATTTGAGAGCAGTTTAAATAAAAGTCCTAAAATTTTAGCGTTTCTTTATAATAAATATGATAAAATAAAGCTTAATATTCTAAAAGATACATTTAATTAATACGTGAAAAATCACCAAAATTTTGATAAGTATATGCTGATAAAAAAAATATATAGTGATTTTCTTAAAATAAAGATTTCCTTAGCAAAAACAAAACCATCCCCGGGACCCGAAATTGAAGAAATCTGTGAAGATAATTCGAAACTTATAGGGCAGTAGGGTGTGTAGATCCACAAGAAGTTTAAGAAACGTTGGTATGCAGATGCACTTCTTGTTTTTGCGAATACCTGAAAAAATATACACGATGTCTTGAGGTTCCATAAAAACTTTTGTTGTCTAGAGGTAATCGAATTTTAAGAACAGAGTCTTTTTCGAATGACATTTATCATACGAAAGTAAAAAAGTACCAAGTTAAACGTAAATATTTGTTAACGAATGTTTAATTCTGAGCTACTGTACGTATTTATATATATTATCTCACACTAATAAGATATCTTGAGAACTTCTCTAAGATTATTATATATGTAAACAACACGAACTAATGACCTTCTATAATTATTCTGGCAGCTTTTTCAGCACTTATTTCCGAGTAATACGATACGAAGCGATGTGAGGGCGTAGGGTATAGTCCTGTGGAAACGGTGCCCAAGTACACAGAAGTGGCCGTAATAGTTTTTTGTCCACGTATCCAAGCGGAGTTCTTCCGACAATGAGTCCATTAAACCTGTATATAAATATTTATTTATTGATAAAAATTGCTAGAAATAGAGAACATAGCTTTTCCTTTACTTTTTTTACCTCGGAGTCCAAATTTAGCAGCGCAATATGAAGTCATATCAGCGCAAGGCATTAAGCCTAAACTTGAGTTAATCGCTATTATGTGCCCTTGACGTCTCTCAATCATGCTGGGTAGAAACGCTTGAATTATCTAAAAGCATATAATAATTAATTTAGTTAGTCATAACATATTGTTGAATTGACATATCTTCGTATGATGATGAAATTGACAAGGCACGTTTTGTATACATCAAATCATCATGAGATCTAAGCCTTCGCGAGTTTTCATTTAAATGAAACTAATATTTTTCGGATTACTTCACGAATTTTATTTTTTCACATCGACACATCCCGTTTGCCCACGATCACGGTTGCTGCAAAGTAGTGGAAACGTCGGGAGTATGTAATTTTTTTAATATAATAAAATACGCTTAATAATTTGAAAATATTACTTTCTTTTAGATTCAGTCATACCCATATATGCGACAGTAAATTGACGTTAATTAGTTTGACGACTGTGTCTGGTCGTAACTGACAAATGGGTCCATAGTTCAAGGCACCAGCGTTACTTATCACCATCGTCACGTCTGTTAGATGACGACGCATGTGTGTGGCTAATGCAGCTACTTGATCCCTCATTGTTACATCAAGTGTGTAACCATAGCACTGTAAATAGAAAAGGATAATAAAAGGGTCTTAGGAATTCACTTGTTCAAACTTAATAAGTGTTTTGTATTTTAGATTATTGTAAAAACTTTCAATTGATCTTACGCAACTTGTTGCATCATTCAGATTTGTGTAAAACAATGCATTTCATCAAAGTTGCTACTACATATATGTGAAAAAACTAACATCTCCATCTTTCTTTCTTATTTCCTCAACTAAGGCATTGTTTCGTCTCTCATCCTTATCCCAGCATATGATTGTTGCACCAAGTTCCGCCAGCTGTAGAGCTAGCTCTCGTCCAATACCCGATCCAGCACCTGTTATCTTAAAAACATTTATCTTGAGTAATTTTCTGTTATCAGATTTAGAATTCATTTTATTTCATTACCAATATCGTTTCCCCGCATAAATTCTTCTTGATCGGTGGTATTATCACTCGGACTATTCCCATTACACATGTCGAAGTCAGTTTTGCAATCAACACGAAAATGTCAAGAGTCCAAAGTGGTATTGCCGATATACCACCCCCGCAAAACCATGGCAGAATCCAAGCTTCCTGGAATGCTCTGTACTTTCTAGCTAAACTGCCTAGAGAACGTGCTAGAATATTTCTTCTACGCATAAAGTTGATATAATTAAACTTAGTAAAAATCACGTCACAATGAAACAACAACACTAATGAAATACATATATATTGTCAATCTGTTTTTGAGTTTTTTTTTTTTGCCAGTATTATATTTTTTTTCAACATAGTTTTTAAAAGGTTTTGAAGGGATGTTAAAAGATATCATTAAAACAAGAAGGACTTTAAATGGGATTATTTCTTACTTAATAATATAACTATGCGAAACCAGGCAAAAAATATGTTAAAAAAATATATCACTAGCTATAGCGGACTGTGTCAAATTGTCAAACTATCGAAGTCAGTCTTTTTAATAAAGTTATTGCCTAATATAATAATATACAAACAAAATGGCAAAGCCTTTACAAAAAGAAAGGGAAAACAGATCAGCTGAAAAGAAAGATTTATCTTTTCACCCGTACAATATAACACCAGAGAGTGCTCATACGTCTATATTGCTTCTTGAATCTGCTGAGTCCGAAATACTTTGTCAGGTAAATATTGTGATTTACCAAAAAAAATAACACTTAACATGAGTTATGTCTTGTGATGTTTGTAGTAACTCAACTCTTTACTGCAACAAATTGGATAAAAACATTTAATATACATATTTGTAACAGACTCTTCGGGCAATTACAAAATTTGCAGCTCAAGAAATGCAAAACCGCTATGTGCTTTTTAATCTTAATGCGATAAAATACATTCTGCCACACGTCGAACATTCTGAATTAAACATAAGACGTTTTGCTTTAAAAGCTTTGGCTCAGCTATGTCAGCTGCCACGAGGACCGGAACAAGTACTAGATAACTCACAGAATTTAAGAAAAATTGCCTTTATGTTGGTTAAAGTATGTGTAGACTTTCTAATATATTAAAATAAAGGTTACAACAACTGACAAATAATGTATTTATGAAGGTTGAAGATGTATTTGTTTTGGAATTTGCGTCGCTCGTGTTATCGGAATTGACAAGAGAGCCTCTTGGCTGTGAGCAGTTGGTGTCAGCTAACATTCTAAATAGTTTGTGTAACCGAATGAAGAACAGTCTAGATCCTGACGTCCAAAAGAATTGCTTACAGGTTATAACGAGAGCTTTAAACTATAAGATTCATGATATTTTACAATATGTTATTAAGAAATGAAGTACTCAGATATTATGTATATAGCTTTGAAAACGGTGAAAATTACAAACAATTTAGACTAGCCGATTACAAACAATTTAAACTTATGTTAGAATGTTTGTTCCTTAACAGACGTTAAGCAACTTGCTCGAAGACCCAATTTGTGCGTCAGAAGTAACCAAGAACCAACAATTCAGCTGGCCTTCACTGCTGGCTCTCATGCAAAGTAAATACCTGGCAATCCAACACGCGGCGCTCAAAACTGTCGATCAATTAATATGCAGGTATAAAGATCAAAATGTACAAAAGACATTTCGTGCTTCAACCGGAGTTTTGGATCTTTGCGATATTTTAGAGGTAAAAAACTTTGCTAGTAATACTTAAATTTTCATTCAATGTCAGATATAAAAAAAGAAAGTAAGGAAATTAACACACATTTGAGAATTGAAATCTATCGATTTGTTAAGCACCTACCTGTAGATATGAAATTATTTAATGGTGGCGATAGGCAACCAAAAATACTATAGATCTACATAGTCAAATGTAATAATATATAATTTATAGTAATTGGTAACCTCTTGTATAGTAAGAGTGAAAATGAAAATACATATTAGCTAAGATTTTAATTATCACCATATTTTCGTCTTCGAAGAGGTATTGTAAGAAGACGGCTATATAAATTATTATACATATTATTACGTATTCTATTTTGAACATATTTATATTTTGCAAATAATTTCATTAAAATAAATTGTATTAAAAAACACGAAAGTAATAGCTGTCATCGCCAGTCGTACGAGTTCCGAGACGTGCACACGCAAGTGCTGGGTGTGTTGAGGAATTATGTGGAGACGGAGGAGAACGCGTCTCATCTGTATCAGTCGGGATGTATCTTAAGACTACTGGCCTACCTCGAGATGGCGCTGCCAGCGATGAAGCCACACTGCCTCGCTGTACTCACTAAGATGTCTTTCACGGCCAATGGACGCGATGTGAGCTTCATTCTATTCCCCTCCCTGTGACGCTGTCAAAACCATAAGGGCTAAGCTATAGTCAAGACGAAGCTAAAATTTATTGTATTGTGTTTAAGTACTAATGTTGGATATGTTCCGTCTTTAAGGTATAGTCAATTGTGTAAGCGGATTTAAATAAAACTAATATTTTCGAATGCACTGCGCGTTTTAATTATTTTAACTAAATACTCCCGATTTCTCGGTGACGGGAGAATATGAGAATCTTGTTTCAACGTAATCGCGGTTGCTGCAAAGTAACCGAAACGTCGGGAGTATGTACTTTAAAATGATTAAAAATTCATAGTACATCTGAAATTATTTGTTTTATGTAAATGAATAATCGCGAAAGTTTTAGATCTCATTATGTTAAACGTCTATAATTTTGGAAGGTTTTTTAACATCTCATTCTAGTTATAATCGTGTTTTCAGGCTTTGTTCCAAACAGGCACAGACTTAGTGTTCTGCCATCAACTCTTGAGCTCTAATAGCGAACTGCTAGCTGATGCCGCTATGGGTGTAGCCAATATGACCAAACTTCTACCAGCGGCCGTTCGCATGTCTGATACTAATATTATTGAAGCACTTTGTGGTACGTACTAACTCTCAATAGTTTTCTATAAATCAAACAAAACAAAACAGTTTTTACCATAACATACTTGTTTTTAAACAGCAATCTTAGGTGATGACGCTGCTGTGTGGTTTTATATACGAATCAACGCGTTACGAGCGTTGGCTGAACTCTGTCTTATAATACCCAAAGCTGCTTTTAGCGTCATTGAACCGAAAACGTTTGCAGCTTTGAGAAACATTAATAAAAAATGTAAGTTTGTTAAAAGTGGCCCCATCCGTAAAGTACTTATTATAATATCAGGTATATTCTATACTTCTTAGAATTATTTTTATGACTGATTATAGTTAATTTTAATACTCAAACATTACAATTTTGTAATAGTAACATTCAAGTATTAACTTGTATTTGAAAACTATAAATACTTTAGCCATTTTGTAAGACATAATTGAAACTAACGCTGAATATTAAAAATCTAGACTGAAACTGTAAGTACCTCGGAGAAGTTGATTTTAATTCAATAATAATTATTATTGTATACAAGTGTTCATTATTATTTTTAATAAGTTATATATGCTGTTATATTAAATTAAATTTCTGTCAGTCAAGGATACGCCAATAGAAGCTCAGCGTCTGGCCGTCCAATGCTACCTCAACCTACAGAGTTACCACGTCAGCACTAAAGCCATGCTCAATGGTGACTTTATGGCGGAACTCTTGAATATATTGCAAGTTAATAAAATCATAATCATACTAAAATATACTTTGCTTATACTTAAGTAATATTGGAATTGTTTTTTTTTTATGAAAATTCTGTAATTTATATTTTGTTACAATAGTAATTAACTTTTTTACTGTGTGTAAGTTGATAAATTATAAATCGTTTTTCTAGCGTATCGACATTAGACTCAAAATTATGACTTGCGGAGTTTTAAGCGGTCTTATGAATGAAGATGATATAGCAAAGGATTTGTTTACTGCTAAGCAGGGAGAACAGGTATAAAGAATACGATTATTTAAATAATACTTTATTTTTACTTCTACAAGTTTAGGGCACCGACTATTTTCCCTATTATATTGCTTGAGGAAGAGTTTTAGCATACCTAATCTTATATAGCTTATTATATTTTGTAACCTTAAATTATTCTCTATAATGGAGTATAGTATAAAAGCTTTAAAAATGCATAAAATTGAAACGATAAATAAAGTAATAAAAAGTTATCAATAAAAAACTTTGAGATGTTATATTGATATATGTGTTTAACATGGAGCTACATAACAGAAATTACAGCAAACACTGAAACTAAGTTTTTTTGGATACTAGAAGTTTTTTTATTAATTTATTCTTCATACTTACTCCCGACGATTCAGCTAGTCTATAGCAACCGTGATCACGGGTAGACGAGATGAAATATTCATCACGTTAGTGAGGAAAAAGCCCAGTTAAATCTAATTCACTGCCAGATATTTTATTGAAGAGATATGTTACGTTAAAATGTATGTTATAATATTTTTAGGTGGTTTCGGAAAACTTACACGTGGAACACATAGGGTTGAGAACTGCTCTCTGTCAGTTGATATGTGCCAGCGTGACAGAGGACGGGGCTGATGCTTATCTGGAACTTGGGACTCTGCATTAGTTAATATCCTTATAGTTAAAATATGAAATGGATAGCTATATAGCTATTTTAGAGTTATTTAACATTATTTAAGAATATATTATTTGCACATTACATGTCAATTTGGCTTTACTACTGGTTGATCTTAATTAAACGTAGTCCATACTTTCTGTAACACAAAGTCCTTATAATAACACTTTTAACATTATTGAAATGTTAAGCTAACTCCTAAATTAGCAAGATACAATAAAAGCAAAATAAGATATATGCAAGATTCAATGACACAATCTCCGGAATATGTGGTTAATAGCATGTAGTATTATTTCACTGTTGCAATTAATATTTGACAGTATGGTTGAGGAAAAACAAGCTCGTTATGTAGTTAGCGCCTGGGAGCCGGCTCTGGAAATGATCTTCCGTTATCATCCATCTGCTAAATTCGCTTACACCGGCCGATTGGATATTAATGATTTCACTCAGGTATACATGATCTCAAGTAAATACTTAAAATACTATATTCAGTGACCACAAATTCAATCATTTTAAAACTAATATATACCGACAAATTTTTTTGCGTATAGGCCATAATGGTTATGACAACATATGTTTAAAACTAAAAACTTAAAACTTTCTTCCCAATCATTATTGATTTCTTAATGCAGGAAGGTTTTTACGTCCAAAAGCGACTGGGATCGTCTTTCCATACTCTAAAGCAGTTGGCTGACAGCCGGGACCCCATATATACGGTCATGTTCATGCCTGGTGGAGATAATGAGCCTCTTGATATTAGGACACCATGTGAGTCTTTCCTATGTGTTTCAGAATCTATGATTCGTGTCATGAATTGAAGATCTTAAATCATTGGTGCCAGAACCCTAATACTTGTGTCATAGAGCTCATTATTCTATTCCAGATCAACCTTCAGAGTCTAGGCTGACGATGACAGCGTCAAGTAAATTACGTTTTTCCGTTTTTCCCGATGATTCAAATTTGCGTAGTTACTTGTTGCGCCTTCGCATATGGTTTGGTGATCCGTAAGTCTTTTGATTTAGAAATTTTCAGCGAAAATATATGTATGGTATTATAAAAGTTACATATTGTTTTCAGTTCAAAGTCCCTACATTATTTTGAAATAGAGGATGCGCATTATGAAGTGAGGTTAATATTTTGAATTAATTAGAAATTAAGTAGCTATTAGGAAATGTATTTGAATTGCTTTTAATAAGAGATGTCCGTGTTAAGATACCGAGAAAAGTGTGAGGAAGTATCAACCTCTTTGAAAGCGAGAGCTCAACTCTTAGGAGAGTTTGTAGCGGAGCAGATGAGTGGTCTTAATCAAGATCGAGATTGTTCCATGCCCAGTGTTAACTTACACATAGCGGATATAATGGTAATTGAAGTCTTTAATTTGATCAATTCTTGTATCTAATAGGGTCTAAGACTTTCATGAGTATTTATTTAAATAAAATTAATATTTTCGGATTACTACGGTTGCTGCAAGGTAACCGAAACGTCGAGAGTATGTAGTTTTAAAATAATAAAATAACGCATAGTAACCGAAAATATTAGTTTTATTTTATTTCTTTATTTTTTTATTCTAAGCAGCATTCTTACCGCAAGTGTGCATTGTCACACTACATAACAGCGTGAAAAATTTCGAATCAAACATTTTCGCAAAATAAACTTAGTTACTAATTTAGATTATTTAATAAGAAAACAGGAGACACTGACGCACACTGACTTCGTGGTTTTCAAACCTCTATAATAGTTTTCTTCTATAAATATGACAATACATTTACACGACGCGCTTCAATCAAATTAAAAACTAACAATTAAATAAAATGTATAGACTGAACTCAAATCCTGTATAATCGGTTTGGGTTTCATCCGCTGTGGAGGGCCTTTGGAGCGAGCTGTTCTATATAAAGTGTTGGCTGATAGAGTGGGGCTGCCGTGTGCCTTGTACAGAGGCAGCAGCGCACACGCCTGGTGTGAGGTGGCCGTGCCGGAGATGGACCCGGTATGTACACGAAGGTCATATTATAATGGTCATCAGGAAATATATACGTACTAGTTTATCCTAATGACTTCCTCAGCATGGCTTCCCGAATTGGGTTCACAGAGGAATTAATAATGTATTTTTATTCTTAAAGAAAACGTACCTTTGTAGTAAATTATTGACAGCGCCATCTATTATTTGTGAACCGTGTCTTCATATAAAATACAATATTATTGACCGGTTTTACAACTTTATTTATTTAAATTATTTTATATTTTATTTTATACCTGTGCTCTTTCATTTGAATGTTTCATTAAAATCAGTTCAGTTATTTTGTCTTTTTTTGCTTTTAAGAACAGTAGAGTGACATATTGTCACAAACTGTTTCATTGATGGGTTACGATTTACCACTTGTATTAAGACTTCGAAATTCTTTACTCAATTTTAATCGATAGGATTTAATTTATCAAAATTTAATCGATAGGATTTTGGGGAGGATGATACAATTATGATTTGGAAATATGAATTCATATAAGAAATTGTGAAATAATTTAAATCTGAAAGATAAAACTGTGATGGGTTAAATTTTCATATAATCTAACAGAATGGGCCAATGGACAAGGATGAGAGATTTCCAGCGGGGTTACTCCGAGCCAACTATGTAGTAGACCTCATGGAAAGACCCGGTCGACTGCTACCACTATCATCGCCTGAAGCAAAGAATGTGTGCGGCGCGAAATGTACGCCGTACACTGCGCGCGTCCTAGACCCAGTGTGCAAGTGCGAACATTGAAAACCAGCAATGGATTTAGTTTTTATTCAATTAACGTACATCGCAATGTATATTAATAATTTTTAACATTGCGAGGGTTATGAATAAAGATTTTTTTGTTTTGTAAATATTTTCTTTATTTCATTTATTACACTGGCAGTATTATAATTTGTTACTTAGAGAACACAATGTTTCACAATGTACCCATTTGACGTGGACGGATGACAATCACATACATTAACTTATAACTTAATAAATCCTAAGCTTATTTAATTTATAATATTAATATATGATACTAACTACGTTTACAACTGTAAAAGGGACGCACAAAAAATATAATTATAAAAATAATGCATGACAAGTGTTTTAAAAACATATAAAAAATAATATTCTATAAATATAAAACAAATGACAAAAAATTAATCGACCACATTACTCTTTACTGTCGTTAATATAGCTACCGATTTAAGTATGCCGAATAAAATGTGAATTTATAAAAAATATACACGAAATACATGACGAGAACGTGTACATATGTATAATAGAAGAAACCTTAAGATAATAATAAAAAATAATTACTCTAACGGTGGTGACGTCACTCTGTAAATTATATTGATGTTCGAAGAAAAATAATTTGTAATAAATCCGACAGAAACATATAAAAGTTATTTCTTTCAAATAGAGCTGCAGAGAAAATCTTCAAAAGGTAAATTAATTATTGTATTTTTAAACTAAACTTTTATACTACATTCTTCCTAAATTACCTAAAATAATGATATTTTAAATATAAATGCAAGGCTTATATACTTAGATCATACCGAAAAATATAATATACATGTGTATAAAGTAAAAATCAGCTGTCTTCATAGAATATATAAAGCCATTTTTAAAATGTAACAAAATCTGGCACAGCCAAACATAATCGCTTTATAATAATTTCCAATCAAATCCTTTAAAATGTTATAAATTTTAATTTAAATATAAGACACTTTTGAAGGCACATTTCTATAGAAACAAATTTACGTTTGTCAATATGTTTGACAATTATTTTACATAAAGTGTAAGTATTTTTCTATTGCTTTAGTAACTCGACGTTATATCAAGAAGTATGGCTGTTTGTGGTCTTATATATTATAAAAGAGGTCAGTTAGTGAGGGAATGTTTATATAAAATGACACTCTATACCTCTGCAATAGACTAGTGAAGTCTTTTAGAAATCCTAATAATGACGTTACCATGTATCCATTATGATAAATATGTTCTAATTAAATACCAGGTTTTTATATACGTAAATGAAATGAAATTTGAGACTAAAATTCAAATCAATAATGATCACTCACAGATGCTATCTAATTTTCTAGAGTTATGTTTGCTTATGGTATGTTAATAATATTTGTTATCTGTAGTATAATGATGAGTAGTTCAAGTAGTGTCTTGTGTAGTGTTATACAGTAGTTTGTGGCACTCCTCGTACAAGTTGTGTTCTTGAGGCCGCGCGCGGCGCCACTGTCGGGGGCTCCTTCAACGATAGACTAGAAGAAGATACTTCTGACACCGCTGAGGACTGAAGAGTGGCCGGCTGACTTATCTGTAATATAGAGAAACATACAAGAAATTGTAATAAAAAACTACTACATATATTGTATATAAAACTATATATACATAAAATAAATATTTGTACAAACATTCACAAAGCTAAGACTTGCCATATTTATTTCAATGAAAATTAAACTAAACTATTCGGATACTATGCGTTTTCTATTGTTTTATATCTACATAATGCAGACGTTTAAGGTAATTTACAGTAGCCGTGATGAGAGATATGTATGGTGAAATATAAAATAATAACAAACTCGTTGTTTCCAAAAAACTTAATCACATTTAAAATATCACACGCGAAAATCTTAGATGTCATTATTTATATGTAATTATATTTTTTTATGTCAGTATCTTGGTATAATATCTATTTAATCTGTGTAATAGTTGTATGGAAGTAATAGAGTTATATATAATATTTTTCGTTATATACGCACCGTCCTGGTAATAGTTTGTGGCGTGGCGGGTGACTTGAGTGGCGTGTCACGGTACTCGTATATATTGTCTCTGGACCGCGTGTTGTTGTCTATGCCGCTTTCCTCTACCTCCGGCACCATAAATATGTCGCCGTCGTAGAAGCGATCCGACTCTCTGAAAGTAACAATTATTTGTATTATAATTTGATCGAAAATTCACTTAAATGTGACAATTCTTTTGAAGCACCTAGTGGCTAGCTTTATATATGAGCAGATTGTATATATATATGTTATAAATTAGTATTTATTAAGAAAAATTAAAATATTTCAAGTATGTATTAGTTATTTCTTGTAGCAATATTGTGCTGATAATCTATATGTGCTGTATTATAGTTACACATACATGGCAGGTATTAGTTTCCATTTGGGTGGCACAGCCCTGGGAAAGTCGAGTGTTAGTATAGCATCCATAATAATACATTACAATAAAAAGATGTGATTAAAAATATATAAGTTAGTTGTTTAGTTATCTACAGACTGCTTTGGTTAATACTGTTTCACTTTTAAAATATTTCATATTGTTACATTGTTAAATAACAGTAACATACACATACTGGTTAATACTGGTGAATGTAAATATAAAGATAATATTAGACAAGTACTATATGTAATTAAATTTGTGTGTGTGTGTGAGTGTTATTAAGGTTAACGCTATTGGTTAGCCAAACAGTTGAATATCTTTATATATATTATAAAAATTTCGTGTCACGTGTTTGTCCGCGATGAACTCCTAAACTACTAAACCGATTTTAAATTTGATTTGCGTTCCATGTGCATTTTAATCCAACTTGAAAGATAGAATAGCTTACATCTCAATTTATAGTCACAATATTATTTTATTGCAATTAAAGAAGATTATTAATTATTTGTCATTATTACAATTATCTGTTGACTGAGTTAAGTAAGTATTCAATAGATGGCGCTATGTTAAAAATACAAACATCATATATGAGCGACTATTTAATAATAGCATAACCACCATGTGTTTCTAAGGCTAAGATGTAACTTAAATTTATTTATTAAAAAAACGTAACAGATATTTCTTGATTATAGGGAGATACGAAGTTCGCCGGGTCATCTAGTATCCTATATACAGGGTGACTGGTGAATTACTATCAATATTTGAGGAGCATACTCGGTACATGATTCTCATTCGAATTATGTAAAAAAAATAGGTACTTAATTTTTGACCAAATTTCCGTATAAATAAATAAAGTGTGTACACGTTCCAAGTGTTCCAAGTGTGGACGCGTGCGGCGGCGTGCTGATACAACAACACGCCGCCGCGCGCGAGTGTGTGTGTGTGTGTATACCTAATCTGTAGGGTGTTCATACGATGCGTAATTAATTAGATAACTTTTGGTTAACTTTACTTAGAAGTTTATTAATATTTATGTTATATTAATTTTTATTTTGTCGTATATGACCGTCAATTATCACGTCCTCAAATATCGATAGTAATTCACCAGTCACCCTGTATAATAGTTATATAATCATGTATGAACCTCTTAGCGTTCCTCCACAGCATACAACACACGACCAGCAGTACTATGAGCACGAGACAGGCGCTCGACACCGACCAGAAGGCGATCTGGAGAGGCTGCTTCGGCTCCCACCAGTACTGGAAGAATATAAGAACGTTATGACATATACAGAATAATAATGAGGAGGTTTCTAATTAGATTTTACAGTATTATATGGCTGAATTGCTTAGTTAAGGATAGTAAAAGAGACGAAACCTCACAGCATTCAATGTATTCACCGTGCGGGTGCCGAGTCCGTCGTTGCAGGGAGAGGAGCTTCAACAGTGACTAGGACTTGCGACCTTGTAGGTTAAAGGACTCCTATCTAACGCGTTAAACGCTTACCTAATCTGTCCAAGCTCCTCTCTCTACTTAATTAAATTTGAAAAGAACCAGGTCCAGTAGATAATTCAGTCGAATTACAAAGTCAGTTTTAACTTTGTTTTCATACATACATAAATATTTCTAAATTTAATCGACAAACTAATATACGGTTAAACACTCATTTAATTATCGCAAATAACACGTAACCGGGAATTAATTTTATTGTGTAACATAATATATCCTACTAATATTATAATTGCGAAAGTTTGTGAGTGTGTGTATGTTTGTTACTTCTTCACGATCAAACGGCTGAACCGATTTCGATAAAATTTTGTATATAGGAAGCTGACGTCCAGGAATAAGCATAGGCTACTTTACATCGCGGAAATCCGCGGGGCGCAGCTAGTACTTGATAAATTCTCATATACTAACATTACCTCAGTGATAGGCGGGTATGTAGGCACTAGTCTCCCTATAACCGTAGGCAGGTACACCGTCCAGAAAGCCAGTTCCGTCTGTCGGTAGTTGAGTTGTATGGACGAGTTGTATGTAGTGTTCAAGTTCAGATAGCGGAGTTGTCCCTCCTCAGCCGCCTCGAAGTGTAGACCCAAGATACGAGACCGGGTTGGATTACTTGAAACATTATTATATATGTGAAATGGTTGATTCATTCATGGCAATTTCCCAGCTATAGCCAGGGTCTGGATTACATGTTGTGAATAGTTTTGGCTAATTGTTTTTACGACCGGCCGCTTGCCTGACATATCCCTCTTTGGGAATGCACTAAGCAGTGATGTCTACATACTCTTAGGAAGTACATATGACTCCGAAAAATCACATTGGTACTTGCAGGGATCGAACCCGCGCCTTCATGCATGAGAGGCGGACCTTTTAACCACTAGGACACCACTGATTAAATGGTTGATTCATTATATATGATTTTACTCATTAAGATATAAGTTGAAAATTATATTCAGAATAAATGGCATTTAAAAAGTTAGAAAGCTGTGAAATAATAATGTTATTCTCATGTTTAATATATAAGTAAGTGTAACTAACCCATATCTAGCGAAATCTGAGAAGGCTTTCATGAAGAAGTGGCTCATATTTCTATCATTGTTCGTCCACGCTTGTCGATCGAGTCTCTGGCTCCAAGGGAAAAACTCTTGATCCATGAATGGAGCACCGGTTAGGAAGAAATGTTCTACATCGTGTGAGTAACGCCTCCACTCCGGCCAATTGAACGCTTCTACCGTCGTATTGAGTACGTACATGTACACTGGCACTTTATTCTCTAGTAACAACTTCACTATCTTGTCGGTCGGCGCTCGATATAGAAAGTCGGATAGTAGCTGAGGAATATACGACAATAATGATTAATAAAGTCTAGAAAAATAATGTTTAGAAATTACTTGGATTCTTTAAACTATATTGTTCATAATGAAGTAAAAATCCGAAAATATTAGTTTCATTTATATTGTACATTTCCAAAGCAATTAGACTTGGAAAGTAAATAATAAGGAGATATAATAGTTGACTACAACGAATAATAGATAAGAATTTAGTACATAATAAATAAAAGAATTCAAATCGATATTCTATGACAGAATTTTCATCATACACCCTTGAATATGATCGTGTGAAATTTAGAGAGAAGTTAGCGATGTATGCTCAGAAAATATAATAGATATGTTAAATTGCACTCAGCGCCAGTACAGGTAAGTTCATATAAAATACAACTTCATAGCCGTATTGGTCAAAGAACAACACGGAATTTTACATTAACAACCTATACTTTACACTTATATCATTGAAAAGTTTAATTAAAATTAGTTCATCAGTTATTGTATGACATGCATACATACATTGTAAAAAGTGGGTAGTATGTTGTTTTTAAAATAATGAAATACAAAAATAATTATTTTCTCTACATCAGTATATATTAGTTTCTACACACATACACACACACACACATATGCATTTATATTTATATCATTACTAGCTGCGCCCCGCGGATTTCCGGGATGTAAAGTAGCTTATGTATTATTCCTGGACGTCAGCTTCCTGTATACAAAATTATATCAAAATCGGTTCAGCCGTTTGAGCGTGAAGAAGTAACAAACATACACACACACTCACAAACGTTCTCAATTATAATATTAGTAGTATTACAGTCTCACATGTATGTACTGGTCTCGTATAGCGCTAGTGTTGTGCGGCTCGGGGTGGTATGTGTACATGTAGCGGACAGCCTCGTACACTCCGCGAGGGTTCAGCGTGTAGTTGTAGCGGAGGACCAGCTCGCTCACCTTCTGGTTGAACCAACGCTCCTCGATTGAGTACGTAGGAGCTAGAGACTCGTTTTTATCTGAAATATATTATATACACATTTAAGGGACATATTTTGTAGGTTTTAATGAAGTATATTTAAAGCAAGATTGAAGAAAACTTATTTTCTGACAGACAAAACATATATAATAGGTTAGTATTAGTGTATATGTCAGTGGTGGCCTAGCGGTTAAAAGGTCCACCTCTCATGCATGAGGGGGGTTCGATCCTGACCCGGGCAAGTACCAATGTGATTTTTCCGAGTCATATGTACTTTCTGAGAGTATTTAGACATCACTGATTAATGCATTAAAAAAGAGGGTTTATGTCAGGCAGGCGGCCGGTCGTAAAAACAATTAGCCAAAACTATTCACAACATGGAAGGCAGACCCTGGCTTAAGCTGGGAAATTGCCAGGTAGAAAAAGAATGAAGTATTTTTAAAGCAAGATTGAAGAAAACTTATTTTCTGAGAGACAAAACATATATTTAGTTAGTATTAGTGTATACTAGCTATGTTGCTTATACCGACGGCTAATTCTCAACTAACAGGTACTAAAGGTAAGTAAAAATTGTATTTTACTTATAGTTGGGTCTGTTTTATACGTATGTTTTAGGAAATATTGTAAACGATTTCAAATTAATAGTGCAAGAAAATTTCTGTGTACAGAATTTTTTTTGGCAAATACTTTAAGTAACGACAGCAGAAAATCAAAATAGATATGAAAGTTTGGACAATTAAATGATATAAAATCATTTAATTAACATTAGCTTTTGTCGGACATTACAAGATATGTAGTTTAAATGAAAAAGTATGAAAGAGGAGCTAATTATCACCCATACTAGATAGATTAATAGATGATGGATACGTCATCAGCCTATCAGCGCCCACTGCTGAGCAAGGCCTCTTTCTCGAAGGTTTGAGCATTAATCACCACGCCTGCTCAAGACGGGTTGGTGATTTCAAACTTATAATTGTGAAACTATAAGTCCAGGTTTCCTCACGATGTTTTTCCTTCACCGTATGTTAGTGATGTCTAAATACTCTCAGAAAGTACATATGACTCCGAAAAATCACATTGGTACTTGCCAAGGTTTGAACCCGCGCCCTCGGCAACGAGAAGCGGGCCCCTTAACCACTAGGCCACCACTGACTTTATATCCACTGATGATGGATATTTGGCCTTTATTATAGGTCTGACAAGTTACGAGTTACATTTAAATGGCCCCCTAAATATTAAATTTAAAAATCAAGTATCACACTGTAAATAAGATTGTGTTTTAAAGATTAAATTTTGTGACTTTTTTATGGAGAGAAATTAGTAAGTTATTTACATAGCACATAAGCCGCCTCCTGCGTTGTAACTCCGGTCATGTATCGGAAGTTAGGACTGTACCGACGCTGTTTTATCAACGTGTCCGGCGTAGTGTCCAGGAACCGCCAGTCCCGCGCGCGCCAACCCTCGTACCACTCGTCACCAGGGAATGAAAAGTTGTCCTCTAATACGGGACCCCAGGGTATGAAACCCACTTGTGGCTGAAGAACATATTGATGAATGTGTCATTTAATAATATATATTATACAGTATGTATTACAGCAAATGGCGTTCCCTTGAACACGTTAATATATATCACTAATAGATTAAAATTAATATATCAGCATAGAAAAATAAGCACAAAATAATCTAAATAAAAAAATAATAATTTATTCACAATAATTTCGAAACCTCCTATATGTATGTGGCGCGGAATAGAACGTATGTATCTAGCGTAGTAGCATTGCCGAAAGTGGCAACGTCGCAATACGCACGATGCCGAGCGGCGCCTTTTGTAGTGGCGGCATATTGAATTATGAAGACACGTAGTCGGATTGTTAACAGTAAAAATAAACATTTTAAATGTATGTTTAGTTTTAGAAATAACACTTAACCCGTCTCAAATGTATTGCTGACTAAGGAACGTGTCACTGAGGTACCTATTCGCAAACAGTAAATAAAAAAAAAACAAATTCAACCATCATATCTAAGCCACGTTTCAATAACATTACAATAATAATACAGAGAATTAGACAGAATTTGCACGCAACGGCCGAGTAATGAACGCGGGGCGGTGGGGCGGTAGCGCCTTTGAGTTCTGCCGACACGTCGCCGTCATGTCGCCGCCCGCTCGTTGTTGCAAAATAAACAAATGAGTCGTATAGGATCAAAGGCGGCAATCTACACTTAGACTGAAATCAGAGAATTGAAAATTTTCGGTTTGTGTCGTCCGTTTCAAAAATGATATTACGTAACTTTATTTTAAGTGATGTAAGTATTGATGCGCTTAATATTAAACTCTCATTGTGTACTATAAAAATAACAAATTGAAGAAATTTACAGGCTTAGAATGTACATCCATGATTCAATTTATACATTTATTTTATAACAGTAATCACAATAAATAAAATAATTCAATAAAAACACGGACACAAATTCGTTAGAAACTTCATACAGACGTCATTAGATCACGTGACCACACGGACGCTTGTGATTGGTGGAATGAGTTAGAATGCCGGGTTTGATTCTTATGCTGTTGAAGATTGCCGAATTTGATGCTAAACCTGATTTTCAAAAAGGATTTCACTCCGAGATAGTCGTTTTTGTTATAAAGTAAATTAAGTACGTAACGTTATTTTAAATTTCCATATAAAAATCTTTATTTTGATAAAATGTGCAGATTGCCGCCTTTGATTCTATACGACTCAAATACTAGTTAATACAGAAGGTCTACTCGCTGGGTACATGAATTTGCTTTATTAAGTTGGATGAAAATTTATTTAAACCACAGTTTAGGGTAGCATTTAAATGATCATGGTGGTATTACACAATTTATTTACAGTTCACATGGAGGTATTAAGCAGTTTTAGGAAAGAGTTCTGAACTTATTAATTTTGTGGCACACTCGTTTAGTGTTATTTTTTTTTATGTTCTCGAAATGTTTAAGGTATTATGATACATTTAAATAATGTTAAAACTTACCTAGATTTTGAACTGCTCGATATGCTGACCTCCTCTGTCTACACATTGTTGCAATCGCCGACGGTTATTTTCGTGCACTTTTTGAAGTGAGTACGGATGCTGCTTGTTTTTCTTTAATATTTTAAACACTACGACGTGACTCATATTGAACAGGCGGCCGGCTCTTCTGGTGCTTGAACCGGGCTCCTCCTCAAAATGCCTTAGCACGTTCTCTTCCTGTCGCACTGAAATCACGGGTCGCGGGCCACCTGAACGACGCGGCACTACCGGCTCATTATTACGCATACGCACTAGGGCACTCACAATTACATACTCCTGCGCACTGAACTGATAACGCGGCATCTTTCACACGAAAATACGTAGACGTAGTAATGCGGAAATAATAGACGTGCGATCCCGGTCAGCGGCGTGGGATTACTAAATAGTAAATACTAAAAAATAAAATTTCGCGGACGTTCGGGGGCGGGGGTCGGGTGACACTTTAAAATCGTAGATCAATCGAATGCCGCATACGCGGCCCGTCTTTTATAAGTAAGTTGCGACGTTGCCGTTCTTCAAATATGCGTGTACAGGATGTTTCTTTTACATGTAAATTTAATATTTTTAATGATTTTTTTTTAAATAAAAAAAAATAAAAAACATTTTGTTTTCGATTGGTAATATTTTTTTTAGCATGTATGGATGCTACATTATTGCGGATTAATGGGAACTTGAATCGTTAGTTGACATACTGTATATACACACACACACGCACACACACACACACACACACACACACACACTTGTATTTAACACCATTTACTTTGCTTTTTTTCCCCCTTTTTTACTTTTTTTCCTTAATTGAATGCTCGATTGTAACTGTAGAACTGTAAATTTGTGTAATCCTAAATTGGCCTTGTTTATATCTGTATTGTTACTATTCTAAAATTACTATAACGCTGTTGGATTACCAATAAACGAAGAAAAAATAAATAAAAGAAATATGAATTAAAACTGTTTTTCGATTTTGATTGACTTTATTTTACTTTATTTATTTTACTATATACTATACTGTATTTTACTATATTTGAAATAATCGAAAGGTCCAAGACACTTTAATCTTTTGTTACCGTGATCACGATTTCTGAAAACGGAAAAATTCGGTAGGAACAATAATATTTGTCGGATAATCCAAAAAAACATAATTTTAATGACATTTATATCCACTTTACTGTAATTTGGTTTATATTAACAGAATTTTCTCTGGTTATATAATATATATTCATTATTTTGTTTGCAATTAATAATTTTTTTTTTGGTGTCGTGTTATCGCCAGTTATTTCCTAAAACCATAGTTTTCCACTATATTGTAATTAAGTTGATGTTAAAGGACTTCTCTCATTATATTATCACTTCTTAATTAAATTAATTACTGACGTGTTATTCACCTGAAATTCAGCGTTCCCAAGTTCATAGAAGCTCCTGCCCTGTTTCAAACAGTTGACGAGCTTCCACGAGGAGTCTATGGGACAACCCAACAGCCGACCAAACACCAGGGACGTGTTCTGAACGCGGAACTTGTCTTGTATTAGCGCCCAATCTGCTAGCGCTGATCCGCTCTGGTAAGAAAAAAAATGTGCGTTAGTTAGTTCACATATTTCTTCATTGCAGAACGCATGTACAGAAAGTCTCAAATTTCATTATTTGGTCTTTCTATAATTGCAACTACGCGTCATGCGTGTTTTCATTAGATTCATAACACGAATTTCGTTATGTGGATGTTTTTCTCTGACCAGAACGTGTAGTAAGCAATTTTTTCGCTCTGAGCATTATCGATCTTCGAGCGGAATATATATATATATATATATATATATATATATATATATATATATATATATATATATATATATACCGTACTATTATATAGCAAATACGTCAAACATTGTTAAAGCAATAATGGATTCTGATGAACATGTCCAAGTGTTATCCAAGATCAAGTTTTCTAATGTCACCGTCTAAAATACTATGCTATAATTGAATCAGTGTAGCAAACCTGTGCGATCACCCGGCTGACTATATCTCTAGTCTGTGGCGCGACCGCCAGTAATCCGGCTGAAGCAGCGCCAGCTCCTGGTCCGAATAGAGTTATAGAGGACGCGTCTCCGTTGAAGGGGCCAATATTATCACGAACCCAGCGCAGAGCCATCACCTGGTCCAAAATACCGTAGTTCCCGGGAGAGTTTTCATCAGCGGTAGAAAGAAAACCTGGAATTTTTCAATGGGACATGATTTTATATGGATTTTAGCGTATTTATATCGACGGAAGCGATTTCGTTATACTTTTTGTTGGACATAAACCACATCTTTGGAATGTTTGCGCTATGTTTATTCTGTTATATAATGATATTTTATAAAACATTCCAAACATCAAATAAGTCTAGATCATAGACAATTCAAATGCCATAGAGATGCAAAAAACAACATATTTAATAGATTTCGATAGTTAAAAATATTTTAACAAAATAGTCAAGTATATAACCCAGATAGTTATGGAGTTATGAACACATACGATTTATTTTTTCGGTAATAATATGTTATTTTTCGGTAATAATATGTTATTTCTCACCAAGAGCTCCAAGTCTATAGTTTATAGAGACCACGACCACGTTGTAGAAGGCTGCCATAACGTGTGCGGGGAAGAGATTAGACGCGCCTGATGAAAACTGTCCACCGTGGATGTAAACCATCACGGGGTACCTTTGAGCAGTGGCACCCGCTTCAGTCTGATGAAGAAATATATGAAAATCCACTTGAATACTCTTTTAAACTAGTTTATTGTATTATTTTATTAAATTAAGCTAAAATTTCCGATTAATAGACGTCATTTTAATATTTTTACATACATACTTCCGACGTTTTGATTACTTTGCACTTTTTCTGCACGGGTGTATGTAATTTTAAAAAAATAATACATATAATACTCGCGAAAGTTTTAAATTTCATTAAATATAAGTAATTCTCGTTTTATATATTAAGATTCTTAAGCAGAGTTCAGTAACGTGTTTTCAAATGAAGCCGAAAAGTATATTTATTTGTTTATTTTCTTTTGTGTTTTGCATAATAAGTGAAGGGAGATAATGTATGCGAGGGTAAAAGTTTTAAGTTAAAAAAAAAGCGAAAACGCAATCGGAAGCAGCTATCAATAGATCTAATTTCGTTTTAAATATTTATATTATGCGTCATAAAATTCTACCTATGATCAATTATATATTGTTGTCATATAACAACATTCAAGGACATTTTACTATTCAATAAGACAACAATACAAAATAATATCGTATACATAAATCCAAACAAATCCTTTGAGAATTATGTCGCAGTTCATATAATGTTTCTGACAAAAATTTAAATTACCAGTCTAGTTAGAAGACACTAATTATCTTTGATTAAATTCAAGCACAGTTGCTAGTAATTACAGTATCGGCTTTGACCACTTGAGCCCGCACACTTCATACATTGACTTGTCACGTGAATCATCAGTGACATTTGATTGGTTCAATTTGAATCTACATTAATTAGTCAAATTTAACTTGTGAAGTTAACGCGCGTGATTAACTAGTTCTATCGAATTAATTGGAACTTTGTATGGAAATTATGAACGCTCTGGTAACAATTATATGATTAAACTAATTTCGCTAAGTTAATGTTAATATAGAGAAACTTTAGTGAGGGCACTTTTGAACTTTTTGAGAACTTTTATAAAATTGAACTGATAGGTGAATGAAATTTCACGACATATTTTTGCTCGTAAGATTTTCGAGAGTGAGGAAAGCTACTAAGTATTTGTAATGGATATTTGTTATAAAGGCAGTAATTTAAATTGAAATGTTAATATAAAATTTATTGTATAATTTTACCATAATATTGTTGTAATTATTGAGATAATATTAAAGTTATATTGCATATGTAGTTTGATCAATAATCTTCATAAAATATCCGATTTTGAAAAAAAACAGCATCAACATTTATAATTTCATGCGTTAAGGATACGAAATCTAGACTAGCTAAGCCACACTCTCGACTAGACCATTTAAAACTATAGTAAGATTGATTTTGTTGTAAACCTTGGAAATTTGACCAAGTTGATACACCCAAATAGAAAATAGCACAAAAAACTTCCCAAAGAGGGTTGATGTCAGGCAGGCGGCCGGTCGTAAAAACAAATAGCTAAAACTATTTACAACATGTAATGCAGACCCTGGCTAAAGCTGGGAAATTTCCAGGTGGAAGAAGAGAAGAGAAAATAGAAAAAAAACTCACGTTAGGCGAGAATATGTTTAGATAGAGGCAGTCTTCATCCATATCTCTGATGCCCTTAGTGGCGCCGGTGAAGCGGACCGGCTGGGGGCAGGCGGGACCCCAGTCCACCGCCTGCAGCAGCTGCCAGCCGGGGTGTTGGCGGGGAGGCTGGGGTAACACGATATATACACTGAATATATTATACTAGCTTTCGGTTATATCGCGTTTCCAAGAGACCTTTTAAAAAAGTCTGGAATAAAAACTATCCTATGTTCTTTCTCAAGGTCAACTCCATCTCTGTACCAAATTTCATTAAAATCAGTTCAGTGGTTTAGGCGTGAAAGCGTAACAGACAGACAGACAGACAGACAGAGTTACTTTCGCATTTATAATATTAGTAAGGATTGATATAGGTATTCTGTTTAGATATAATTAAACACTTATCATTACAACATAAAAAATAGTAATATACATTGAACTGGGAAAACCACTTTGGACACTGAAAGAGGCCCTTAGTAAAATTCAGTATATATCTTTGTATATGTTATGTATTATTTATACTTGCTCGCTATTCTTAAATAATGTGATATCTAGTTAATGTAGGTAGATTTTAATATATTAGTTTCTGTCCTTGTCTTGCTGCTTAGCAATACATGTATGACAAATTTAATATAGTTTTATTTAATACTACTACACCCATTTTTTAGATATAATTTTTCTTATAAACTCACCTTAAACCTGCCTTCCAAGACAGGTGGTCTAGCATATGGTATACCGAGGAACACTGAAACTTCACCTTGTATCCTCTCAACCGGAGTCAACCACGGTCGATAACCGGAATTAGGATCGGGATTGTCATATAGATATACCTACAAAAATATAACATACAAAGTTATGTATTAGTTATGCTTGCTCGGTATTGTTAAAATAATAATTAAAGTATTTTAAAGCGCGTTGTGATGATAGAGCTTACGGTGCCTTGGGAAACCAACATCCCCAAAGACCATGCCATCAAGGTCAACAAGTATTACGAGCTCACTAACGAACTAACTCGAAATAGGTTCGTCGTTGATTTGTACGCGGTAGAGGTGGGAGCGAGAGGTATAACAGCTAAATCTCTCTATAACCTACTAAAAGACTTGGGCCTGTCCAGAACTAACATTAATTCATTCTTGGAACGTACGTCGAAGGCAGCCCTAGTAGGTTCTTTTCAAATTTGGTTAGGTAGGGAGAGGAACTTGGACAGTGGAGGTGAGCGTATAACGCGCGTTAGTTAAGGGGCCCCTTAAACCTACACCTGGGTCGCAAGTCCCAGGCACTGTTGAAGCTCCTCTCCCTGCAACGCGATGGACCCGGCACCCGCACGGTGAATCCATTGAATGCTAAGAGGTTTCGTCTCGTCGTCAAGTGTAATGTAGGTAGATTACGTTATTAGTTCCTGTCATTCAGTTTGCTACTTAGCACAATACATACATGACAAATTTAATATCGCTTTATTGAATACTACAAAAGTGAATAATCTTGTTTGTAATAAGTATTATATATTAGGAATCGTTTGAATTCATATACCATTTTTCATTTTTTTTTTATAAGTTAGAGAAAAAGAATTCAAAGCATTTTCAACTCAACAAAATATGAAATTGGAGTATTCAAGAAGTTTTTATATAAATTTTAATTATACTTTATGAGGAACATTTATTCAACAGATAAATGACAATAGTAATGGTATTAAAAATTTAATGTTAACTAATTTTAACTTATTTCATTACCTGTTTTATATTTAATATGCTTATTATTGGTAATATGCTTAATATTGGTAAAAAGCAGTTTTAACTGAAGGTTGCACAAATATTCATAAATTACCTTAAATCCTTGCACTTGTCCGTAGTTAGTGTTCACAAATATATCTCTCTTAAGTTGTCGTGAATCTCTTCTTTCTTTTCCTTGTAGATCTTCTCTCCAGCCTCCGAGCACACCGGGGAATAGAGCGTCTGGATTATTTGGGTCTCTGTTCTGTAGTAAATTAAAATTATATATTATACTTAATATGGCCTCTTAAGTTGTGTAAAGCTCAATAATAATCATTTGTAGATTTTTTAATACTGGTTGCCTCTTATAAATGTTAACTAAGTTTTATTTATGGATTGTTAGTTATCATACTTACAGTATTATATTTAAATTGTTCATCCAATGGGTTAGTATCAATGGGATTGTATGGGAAGCCTCCGGGCTGATTTATATTGGGATTATATGGATTGTATCTTGAAGGATCTGTTCCGTATCGCCTGTTGTTATACACGTACGTTCTATAGTCCGTGTCCCCTGGGTTCGGGAGCCTCGATCTTTGTTTGTTTTGTGGTCCGTAATACTCATTATTGAACTGACCATTGTACAAATCTTTATTCGATTGAGAATTTACATACACACATAATACAACAGTAATAAACACTCTTGTAAACATTTTTATTCACTTTATGGAATGTAAAAATATAATTTCATATTGGTACGCTTTTGTGTGGAATAATGATTAATTTTATTTCTGGTGACTCAAAGTTCCACTAATAAGTATTAATTATCGAGATAAATCACATCTCACGACAATATTCGTGATAAATTATTTTAGAAAAGCTAAATCACGAAAGTTTAAAATTCAGTGACAATAACTTTCAAAACAATATGACATATAACCACTTTGTATAGGATCAAATATATAATCTCGTAAAGCAGTGCAAAAATGGGGGATGAGTAACTTTATCACGTTATCACAGTATTAATCAAAGAATTATCAGTTAAACAATGTGTGGCAACGCCCACAGTGCTCACGGTTTTGTTTATCATTTTCAAGTTTCGACATCAAATAAACGTTCATTTTGAAGTTTGGATAACGTTCGGAAATCGAATAATGATAGTATTGATATATTTTGACAATAATATCTGATAATATATATTTTTTTTTAGAAATAAAATAAATTAACATAACAATAGATTATAAAATATCGATATTTTTAATCAACCCTTTTATTCATTTTTAAATTCCTGATTGGAATATATTGTTATGCTACACGAAGGTGATTCAAATTAGGAGCCTGTCCGTTTTATATACCAATTACAATTATTATAGTATTTTCTATCATAGCTCCTGCTAACGAATTCGTTATTGTTTCAACCAAAAAAAAATTATCAAATTTTAAATCACTTTCGTTAAGTAATTCAATAAATTATTTTTATAATTGGTTTTTCGCACAGTAATAATCAATAATAAGGTTTATCTGTTTCTTTTTAATTTCAATTTTATTTATAATTAATTTAGATAACAAAGTAGAAGTCCATTGGTATATATAAATTTCAGAATATATCACGCTCATTTTATATAACAAAATTTAATATGTTAGCTACTTAGTAAAGTATATAAAGTTATTTTAACTGTCTGACGTTTGGATTCGGGCGCCTAAGAAATATTTTTTCTTCTTTTCTCACAATATAATTTTCTAGCGCGTGTAATTAAGATACTTATAAGATTTCAGTTGGATGGAAACCAAAATTTGTAAATTCCTCAGGAAAAAATTAATTGGTACGTTAATTGTTTTGCAATTTTCTTCTTAATCTATTCATATTTTGCAGTAGAAGCACATTTAATTCAGAATGATTTGGGTATGTTCTAAAACAAAATTTAGTTCAAATCTTTTTAGAGGTTTTTGGTACGATTAATAACCGAACCCAGAACATAAAAATTTTCACATTAATTATATAGTAACTGGGATTACTATGCTTAAACGACGAAACTTATTTTGATATTTATGGTAAGTATTTCATAAAACAAAACACGGATTACTGAGGAAAGCCGAGTTAGGACGGCTGTTAATATGAATAAGCTTAAAGCAGTTTATTCTGAATAAAAAAAATAAAGACATAAAACAAAAGCCAGAGAATGTAAATAAAGGTATGTGGCCCTTATTATGCGAGTCAAAGAATACAGACATTTGTATAAAAATATTCGGTTACATTTTCGTCACAAATTATTTTCGTGAGCGCCATCGTCAGTGTGCTGTGAGTTTTTAGTTACGAGGGTGGGGCTGCCAGAGATAACAGAAAACATAGAGCTTTATATAAATTTTTTTAAATTCAATTTGTTGGCTATGATTAGACAGTATTTTATATAGATTTATGGAAGGTAAACATTTATGTAATAAAAAAATTATATATTTTTTTAAATATTTTTCTATATTCATTTGACAGTACATAATTAAAATTATAATGATTAGGTACAAGTGTTTATTTGGTTTCAAATTTAAAAAATTATGATTATATATAAATATTCAAATTTCTAAAGGTGGTCAAGCTACGGCAGTTCTAGTCATTACTCCAAAATCTTAAGCTTAGAATTAGATTGACTGTAGACTAATAATAATTATGAAATGGTAATATTACAATTTTGAATATTTTGCACGAATTTTTCATACAGCAAAGTCAATGTGACAGATAAAAATTAAAAATATGCTATTTATTTTTCATCTGTATAATGTTGTTTCATTCAAATTGATATATCTGTAGTTTTGTAATTAACTGTAGTTATTTATAAAAATGTATAAAGGGATAGTCTATGTAAAATGAAATTTTATGTGCAATAACTTGAGAACAATTCATACAACAAAGTACTCGATTTGTCAACATAGAATTATGTATTATTAAAAAAATATCTTTAATTCGACTAAAATTACAGTATCTATTGTGTTTAGTACTCTGTGCAAGGAAATAATATAAAAGTCTGCGAAATGAATAATTTTACGCGTGTATTATACGAGGGGTGTTTAAATGGTCGCGGAATCGCGGCTTGTTCTTGATACAGCTATAAGGAAAATACATAACTATATATATTGAGATCGGATAGTTGGAATAATTTTTTAATAATTGTATTAAATACTTTTTGTCGACGCCTTCTCTCGAATATAATGTTATTTAATATAGATGTGGTGGTATTTTTTTAATTTTTAAATAAATTAATGAAGTTGGACTTCCATAAAAATTACTGTGATGAGAAAGTTAAGCGATTAAAACGCTTCTGATCTAGATTAGTATTGTTTGACAGATATTATAAGGCGTCCATATTAGTTTTTACAAAAGTATGACGGCTTTTGAATGAGACAACAAACAATTTTCAATGAATAATATTAAAGGAAAATCTAGTGGGCATGCTTTAGCCAATATTCTATTTATTAGACCACTTTAATGGCAATCTATTTAAAAGCACTTTTTAGACACCATGTGAGCGTTATTTTTCTATGTAGTCGATAAACGAAATACTATGTTCCAACATACAGAAAGCCTTTGCCAGTGTAAAATATATAAACCGTGGAAAAATATATCAAAGTAAAAAGTAAAAGGGGCTCAGAATATTACGTTGTATGTGCGGAAAATGGGAAATATGTCTCCTTATTCCATCTAAATGCTAAACGCCAATATAGCAAGACTTGAAGTGTTGGGAATAATTGCACTTCTTATATACTGTATAATAACATTGGTACGAAGTAAATATTTTATAATACTTCTTGTAGTGCAAAATGATAAGTGATAAAAATAAATTTAAACTTCGTATGATGAAAAACGTACTGTTATGGGTAGGTAGAAAAAAAAATCAAGCTTCTTAGTACATAGATATAATTTTCATACTATGGGTAGCAATTATTTCCTTTATAGAAGCATATTTAAGCTGAAATATTGGTAGATGTATTAAAACTTATGGTGTGTAGAATGGTGAAGAAAATTTGCACTAAGCGCATTGAATACGAAGATTCCAATCGAAGATACGATAAATATTACATGCGAATAAAGTACATATGTATAATAGTAAGGGGTGATTTGCGATATTTAAGATTCTTCTAAGTTATATTTCCATGTTGTGACGTATGAGCGGCGCGGATGGCTTATCTTGATAAATTCTGATGGTTATACGTTCAAGCAATAATCAGCTTGGATTTTATGGTTATAGGATTTTTTATGTTCTCTTTTTATGTGTTTAATGTATGTTTTACAGTTGCCAATGGGTATTTCTGATTATGTATGCCATATATCATAGTTGTTTGTGTTACCATGTTTTATGATATTACTGTTAAAGTTTGGTCGCTTACGTATATGTATTCTGTCAGTTTGAAAAGAATTGTGTTCAACCATTTAGCAGCATATCAGCCTTAATGGTAAACTCTAAAGAGAATTAAAATTTATTTAGTAGAGTTTTATTTAATTCAAATTACTACATATTCTAGTTTTTAAATAGGTAAATGTGTAGGTATATTATTGGTGTAGCTTATGGGTCTCACCTCGTTTTATAACGTGGGTGATCGGGATTGTACTACTGTCTTCAAGGAGATTTGACTGAAAGTTATTATAGGTGCGTTTTGTGATGAGTGAGTGCTTATAAACTCTTGGAACAAAAGATTAGATTCTTCAGTCACCTGACATCAGATGAACCATCAGACACGTGCTTAGTTAAATAATGATTAAAGTAAAATAACTTAAATAAAGAATTTATTAATTCATATTTATATCCCTACTAATATTATAAATGTGAAAGTAACTCTGTCTGTCTGTCTATCTGTTACGCTTTCACGCCTAAACCACTGAACTGATTTTAATGAAATTTGGTACAGACATAGAGTTAACCTTGAGAAAGAACGTTTTTATCCCAGACTTTTAAAAGGTTCTCTTGGAAACTCGATATAACCGAACTCCAAGTGGACGAAGCCGCGGGCGGAAAGCTAGTAGTCTTTAAAAACCTTTATCAAAATAAAAAAGAACAAAATATGATATACAAACTTTTGATAAAAAAAAGCATCACAAATGTATATAAAATGAAAGTAGAACTTGAAAAGAAAAAGTAATGTTTATATTTTATTTGTAATCTACGTAACAAAATACCCATCCGACACAAAGGTATACCATACAGAATAAAAAGGTAAAACTATTAATCATACATAAACATCTGCATGAGCTCCAAATATATGAGGTTTGAAAGGCCCTAATAAAATAAAAGTGAATATGAGGTTATAGCTTTCGACAAGGGTCAAATTTACCGAGAGTGGAAAAGTTGACTTCTCAAAGAATATACGGGCGAAATTGTTTGGAACAACCATATTTGTTTTATATAGGCCTAAGTAATAAGTAAGTCATGTAGAATTTCTATACAAAAAATTCAATTTTGTGGCCTAAATATATGTTGTTTCAGACTTTGTTCCATTTTTTAATGCAAAGAAAGATTGTCATACAATAAAGAGCGAGTATGTAAAAATTTTAATATAATTTTGTAATAATTTGTCTTTGAAAACATAAACTAGAATTACTTATTTGTTGGACTTAATACACAGCGAAAACAAACTAAACAGTATAAGCAATCCAACATTTTTATGAGCATGAAATGACAATGACTGTACTTTACAACAATATTAAATCTCAGGCAATGTACAAAGA